CCGAAATCACCATCCGGGATGCGGCAGAGGAGGACCTGCCATTCAGTAAGCCATTCATCTTCTTCTCCGGACGCAGCACTTACGGCGCTGTCATTGGTATAGTGAACGAGGTCTACAACTATAATATCCTAAACTCTGTCGGACTGTTCTTTACGTCTCCTGTGACTGATGAGTATAGGCTCAGGTGGTTCCGAAACCTGAAACGGAGAAATATCGTTGGGGAACCTTACCCTTGCTTGCTTGGTCTGAGAAAAGGGGCGGACGGCAAAGAAATAAAGTTTGGATACGTGTGCTATTTACCCTGGATGGAGGGGGAAGAATTCCAACAGTGAGTCAAGCATGTAGTTGCGCTTCTCGTAGGGACTTACCGCGCGTTTGTTACATCGAACAGTGTAGTAGAGATATCCTTGTATATTGCCCAAGACCATACAGGACTTGGCCTTGGCGTCGAGTTGCTCGCCGCCATTTTGGCCCACCCATCAACCAGGCAACTCCGTGGTATCGTTGGTCAGTCCTAACTCTCACGTAGCTCAGCAAGCCTTGGCGTACAACTGAATACCCCAGCCACGATCGCTACCGAAAATATTCCATCAATCAAGTTCTTCTCGAAACGTGGGTTTGTTTACTCTGGACAGTGGGTCGAAACACTACGTGCGCCGAACCAAAGCTGATTATATCACTTTTATTTGGGAGGCTTAACAACGTTGGTTATAAATTCGGGCGATGGCTCGATGTTGCAACCTATACTCTGTATCTCCCCGGCATACCTGATTTAATGAACGCAAAGTTTGAGCACGAAAGCAGGTATGCCTCAACAAAGGTTGGTATTGGTTTGATTGACTACATCCTAAGTTCAACAGCCTGATCCCCCATTACGACACACCAATAACCACTTGCAGAGACGTCAAGCTGAGTGATTTGCCGATTAGTGTGTCGTCTACCCCTTCAGGTTAGTAGAAACTAACGAATTAGAAACGTATGTAGTTAACGACATTCATAATGAGAAGAAACATTACCTCAGTATAAACTCGTTCGGATCCACCACTACCATAGAGGAAAGACGTGCATGGTATGAGTGTCTAAGCGCTAAACCAAGTCTCCCCTGTCCAGCCGTTCTCGCCGAAACAATGGACGGGGTAGTTGGATATGCCTATCTGAAACCGATATCGCCAGACAAGCCCGCATACGACTTGTAAGCACACAGGTCCGTCCCGCTTACAAGTGCCGCTAATTTTATTTGCATCCAGCTCCGTTGGTGTTCACCTCGCAACCCGTAACCGATCAGCTAGCAACCAGCTACTCAGCAGAATTCTTTTGCATCCATTCAGTAAAC